AGATGTCGAGCCGCCTGCTATCGCTGTTCCTATCGATGATTTCTGTGTTGTTTGTTAAGACTTCTCTGGTTATGGTCTGGTTGTGAGAGGAGATTATATGTTCCTTTATGGAGCCCTGTTGTTCATGCATTGTTAATCGCCTGGAAAGAGACATTGTTGTCTTGCCTATATACCGAGTTCTTTGGGGCTTACTGTCCCCAAGTGGGCATTTGAAGGCATAGACAACATTGGTTTCCTTCAAGGCATTCTGCTTTGTGTCTGGAGAGTTTTTCATGAGTAGGTTGGCCGTTTTTTTGGTTTTATAATAAATCGTCAATTGTATTTTCTGTTTTTTGTCTGTAGGGATAACGTTCCTATCAACAATATCTTTCAGGACCCTTTCCTCTGTTTTATGAGCTGTCGAAAAGAAGTTCCTTTAAAATAGTCTAATAGTGTTTTACCTTTCTTTTTATGATGTCTTTAATAAAACCATTAGAGAAGCCGTTGTTGACTAGGACCTGCCTTACCCTACAGAGTTCTTCATTGACTTGCTTCCATCCTGAGATGTGGCTGAGAGCACGGTTGACGTAAGCGTTGACAACACTCTTCTTGTACCTATCTGGGCAGTCACTATTGGCATTGAGGCACATTCCTATGTTTGTTTCCTTAGTGTAGACTGCAGTGTGGAAGCCTTTGCTCCTTTCCATGACTGTTACATCTAGAAAGGGCAGCTTCCCATCCTTCTCCATTTCGTAAGTGAAACTCAACACAGAATTCTGCTCGAATGCCTCCTTCAGCTCCTGCAGACATCTGACATCAGGTACCTGTGTAAAAATGTCGTCAACATACCTGCAGTATATGGCAGGTTTCAAGTCCATGTCAACTAAGACCTTCTGCTCAATGGTACCCTTGTAGAAGTTCGCAAATAGGACACCTAGGGGAGAACTCATGGCGACCCCATCTACTTGCTTATACATGTGCCCATCTGGGCTCAAGAAGGGTGCCTCTTTAGTACAAGCTTGGAGTAGTTTTCTTAGAATGTTTTCTGGTATGTCAAGAGGAGTACAGGCCGGATCATGATACACTCTGTCCACTATCATCCCGATTGTTTCATCCACAGGTATGTTGGTAAACAGTGATTCTACGTCCAACGAGGCTCTTATCCCTGTGGCCCATGTTCCCCACAGCAGGTCAACAAATTCCTTTGGAGACTTCAGGCTGAAAGCACAAGGTACATAAGGAGTCAGCAAGCCGTTGAGTTGCTTAGCCAGTCTGTACATGGGTGTGGGTATCTGGCTGATGATTGGCCGAAGTGGGTTTGCAGGCTTGTGGGTCTTAACATTTCCATACGCATACTCAGGTTTATATTCCCCAATAACCTTTAGGAGGTGGAGTCCAGATTTCTTGGCGTTCACAGTTTCGATCAATCTGTTTACCTTTGTTTTCAATTCGGCTGTAGTATCCTTCGTTACCCTTTGGAATTTAGTTTGGTCAGAGAGTATGAGGTTCATTTTCGCCAGATATTCGTCTTTTTTAAGAATAACATATATTGGAGACTTGTCACCTCTCCTGACGACTATCTCCTTGTTCTCACGAAGGCTCTTAGCTGCCGCTTTGAGCTCGGGGGACAGTATGATGTTTCTGTAGTTGCCTTGAATCTTTCCTCCTTCTGCAATAAGTTCTGCTTGCAAGGTGTCTTTAGTGGTAACCTGCTTTTGCGTCTCGAGGTCGAATATGTCGTCCAATAGGATCTCCAACTTCACTTTCCGGGCCATCTCACTTGATCTGGATATAACGTGATAGATTATACCCAGATTTAGGAGAGTGATTTTGTCCTCAGTGAAGTTGATTCCAGCAAGGTTCAGGAAGCCATCTCTTGGTCGTGGAATCGCCATAGGTCCTCCATATAATAATGTTAGTTTCTTGATGATCCTGGTTTCAGTGCTGTGGTGATGTCGATCTGTGAGGATGTCGAGGTGTTGGTCGATACGAGTACGGAAGTTTTCGTCGATGTTGCTGTTTCTCCATTGGTTTGTAGCGTGAAGTAGTTGCGTTTTGTTGTCTTTGATCTCATTTTCTGCCTTGTGTACCTGATTTCGAATCAGATCTTGGCGATGTTTTATCGTGAAGGCTTGATTTCTTGCTGCTGGATCGTGCGTTTTAATATTAGTATATTTTGGTAGCAGTCTTTCTTGTAAACATATGGTGTTAAATATGACCGAAAAAGTAAGATTAATAATCCTAACACGAATTTTCTCAATATTTCTTATGTTTCTTTTTACTGTCGATTAATACATCTTCAGAAGGAGTCTGATAATAATATACGAAAGTTCTTAAGGAAATTCCTGTTTCAATTTTCCTCCGTGGTCTAACATTGTCAAATTTTTAATCACGTGTTTATTTTTCGTGATTTACACACACACACACACACACACACACACACACACACACACACACACACACACACACACACACACACACACACACACACACACACACACACACACACACACACACACACACACACACACACAAACAAGATTAAGACAGAGGAGGACTGCCTGAGGCTTCAAGAAGATCAAGACAAACTAAAGGAATCGTCGAACAAATGGTTGTTAGAGTTTAACCCAAACAAATGTAATGTAATGAAGATAGCTGTAGGGAGCAGGAGGCCAGTTACAAGGTATCATTTGGGAGATGAAATTCTACACGAGTCAGAGCGAGAGAAAGACCTGGGGGTTGATATCACGCCAGACCTGTCCCCTGAAGCCCATATCAAGAGGATAACATCAGCAGCATATGCCAGGTTGGCTAACATAAGAACGACATTTAGAGACTTGTGCAAGGAATCATTCAGAACTTTGTATACCACCTATGTCAGACCAATCCTGGAGTATGCAGCTCCAGCATGGAGTCCATATCTAGTCAAGCATAAGACCAAACTGGAAAAAGTTCAAAGGTTTGCCACCAGACTAGTATTCGGGCTGAGAGGTATGAGCTACGACGAGAGACTACGGGAATTAAACCTCACGTCGCTAAAAGACAGAAGAGTTAGGGGGGATATGATCACCACGTATAAGATTCTCAAGGGAATTGACAGGGTAGATAAAGACGGGCTATTTAAAACAAGGGGCACACGCACTAGGGGACACAGGTGGAAACTGAGTGCCCAGATGAGCCACAAAGATATTAGAAAGATTTTTTTTAGTGTCAGAGTAGATGACAAATGGAATGCATTAGGAAGTGATGTGGTGGAGGCTGATTCCATACACAGTTTCAAGTGTAGATATGATAGAGCCCAATAGGCTCAGGAACCTGTACACCAGTTAATTGACAGTTGAGAGGCGGAACCAAAGAGCCAGAGCTCAACCCCCGCAAGCACAAATAGGTGTGTACAAATAGGTGAGTACACACACACACACAAAAAAAGTAATATATATATATATATATATATATATATATATATATATATATATATATATATATATATATATATATATATATATATATATATATATATATATATATATATATATATATATATATATATATATATATATATGTATGTCGTACCTAGTAGCCAGAACTCACTTCTCAGCCTACCATGCAAGGCCCAATTTGCCTAATAAGCCAAGTTTTCATGAATTAATTGTTTTTCGACTACCTAACCTACCTAACCTAACCTAACCTAACTTTTTCCGCTACCTGACCTAACCTAACCTATAAAGATAGGTTAGGTTAGGTTAGGTAGGGTTGGTTAGGTTTGGTCATATATCTACGTTAATTTAAACTCCAATAAAAAAAATTGACCTCATACGTAATGAAATGGTTTGATTTATCATTTCATAAGAAAAAAATTAGAGAAAATATATTAATTCACGAAAACTTGGCTTATTAGGCAAATCGGGCCTTGCATAGTAGGCCGATAAGTGCGTTCTGGCTATTAGGTACATGTATATATATATATATATATATATATATATATATATATATATATATATATATATATATATATATATATATATATATATATATATATATATATATATATATATATATATGTGTGTGTGTGTATGTGTATAAAGTATATGTGGAAGCTGATCGAAATTACATTTCACCTTTGTAAATGCACATTAATGACACTATGTAAAAGACACATCGAACACAATAAATCCCTGAATTATGTGTTTAACAGATCTCTCACTCTGTCCATGGAGGACAGAAAACAATGTATATATGCTGGTTAGCATTGTATATCTGTGGCCACGTCTGTGGTAGAAAATAATAATTTAAAAAAGCGCTTGACGGTCCTGTTCACCTAGCAGTAAATTGGTACCTGGGAGTCAAAATACCAGTCATCATAGGACCACTCCCTGATCCTGGGAGTGGGAGTGTGGGAGTAGGACCAGGAGTGTGGGAGTAGGACCAGGAGTGTGGGAGTAGGACCAGGAGTGTGGGAGTAGGACCAGGAGTGTGGGAGTAGGACCAGGAGTGTGGGAGTAGGACCAGGAGTGTGGGAGTAGGACCAGGAGTGTGGGAGTAGGACCAGGAGTGTGGGAGTAGGATCAGGAGTGTGGGGGTAGGACCAGGAGTGTGGGAGTAGGACCAGGAGTGTGGGAGTAGGACCAGGAGTGTGGGAGTAGGACCAGGAGTGTGGGAGTAGGACCAGGAGTGTAGGAGTAACAACAGGAGTGTGGAACAATAAATGTGGGAGTGGAAGTGGGAGAGCACAGTGGGAGTGGTGTAGGCAGGGAGCGTGGGTCGGTGGGGCCCCTCCCACTCTGCCGGTCAACCTCCTGTGCTCTCAGGACTTCCCAGACTCCCAACTTCCACCTTATGCACCTATTACAAACTAATTACGACTCTCCGTGTCTTCTAACTCTTACTTTTGACTTATTCATATACAAATTGTCGTATTCGTGGAATTCCGTATTTTTTAAACTTGAATTTAGTAGTGATATATTACAGGTGCTCGGTTGACTGTGTGTGGGCTACGGTCAGGAGAAAAGGTGTGAGCAGGCAGTGCGGGCCTCAGTTGACAGTTGAGTGCCGTGAGCGTTGGACGCGACACACCGCTCCCTCTCCCAACCCTCGACGCCTCTCGCACACACCGCTCAAGATGAGGGAAATCGTACACGTGCAGACCGGCCAGTGTGGCAACCAGATTGGCACCAAGGTAGGCCTACGTGTGTGGCGTAGAGTCAGACGCCGTATATACCTTTCACGCCATCTTCACTCCTCAGGTCACCCCTTGTGCCTGTGAGGTCATTACCGTTATATAATGGTGATAACTTAACATGCACACCACTGTGCATGTTAGGCAGGTCGCAGCTACAACACCTCACACAAATGTCAATGTTAGTCCTCTCGAGTTTAATGTCCTAAAGCGCAATGTTTGAGACCAAAAGCACACACACACGCTCTTCTGATTTACAGCGATGTTACTCCTTTTTTTCTCTCTCTCGTGTGGTATTTGGAAATGTCGTAGAATGAATAATTCTGTAGATGGGCGGCCCGTTGGGAGGGCGTGGCCACCCACCAACACTTGGGCTCCGCTGGTGACTGACACCACCGTATGCTTCACCACACAACACTATGCTGCAACACACAAGTGTTGCAGCATAGTGGATAGATGGCGACGGTCCGCCATCACCACATGTCTGCAACACGTCTGCAACACTCACCTATAGGGTGATAAACTACCAAGGCGCAGATAAACACACACACATATATGGCCTCACGGCTCAGTGGACAGCACTTGGGGGTCGTAGTCCTAATGACCTGGGTTCAATTCCCGGTGGAGGCGGAAACAAATGGGCAGTTTCTTTCACCCTGATGGTCCTGTTCACCCAGCAGTAAATAGGTACCATGTCGTAGAGCTAGACAGCTGCTACGTGCTGCTTCCTGGAGATGTGTGTGTGTGTGTGTGTGAGAGAGAAATATATATAGTAGATATGATAGAGGGAAAAAAAATGGTTAGAGAGGCTGGGTCCAAGAGGTCATACCTTGATTCTGAAGACACAAATAGTAAATAAATACACACACTTAAGTACCAGCTGATGAAGTTGCCATTGACGAAATATTTACCATTTACAAGAGGTGAGCGAGAGGTCGCGGGGTGTAGCGTGGAGGCGGACATGGAGCCATTTGGGGGTACTGACCAACTGGAATTAAAAAGAGGAGGCAGCAGAAGCTAGTTCCATGCAAAGGTTCAAGTGTAGATATGATACAAATGTAGTGATTCACGAGCCATTGTATTAGATAACGGAGCATGTCGTGGTGTAAGGCGTTGCTCGGGAGGACCCGGAGCAAAGGTTCGAACCCTCCTCGTGGCTCCTACTGATTTTCTCAGAGCACAAGAGCTGACTGCTCATCTCTGAACAATTAGCTGAGTGGCAGTGACTGGCCAGTGTGCACTGTTACTGACCCAGAGTTGGAATGTGGGAGAAGGATGTTGAGGTTCGTTTCTTACGAATATTTCCTTACAAAGGAGATACGGGCCTATACCTCCCTACCTCCACTATATAGGTCTGTGAGCATGGCACCAGGGCCAACCATGGGTTCACTTACTAATGTTTCCGGCCCCATATATATAGTTAGGTAGTTTCCCTGACACACTAACGCACAAGATGTGAACTAACGATGAACTGAAGCCAAGACAACACAAACAGCAGCAGTTAAGGAAAGAGCAAATAAGAGGTTTAACCGTATATCAAATCACCACTAAGTCAAGGCTGACCAACACGGTCAATATCTAAAGCTGGAAGCCTTTGTAGACAGTATTAGATGACACGGAAGCCTCCCCCCCCCCACTCACACATTGTATAGATACAACTATATATACAAATGCGTCGTATAGATACGGGTGAAATTGTTGGCGCGTTGCCTGTTATGTTGTGTCTAGGGAGTGATCACTTTACTGACGGTGGTGGAGCGGTCTACAGGCTCGTTGAGCCAGACCATCCTCATGCCCTCTCCCCAGTGGTTCCACCCCCCCCCCCCACCCCCCCACCGTCTCCCTGACCGCAATACCCCGCCCCTCTCCCTCCCTCACCCCTAACCCACTCTCTCCCTTGAATCATGGGTATGGGGTGCATAATAAATAAACTAAACTAACTCCCCGAACCCTAACTCGCGTCCCATATTTTACTACTACGTGAAGAGAGGCATCAGGTTAAAGGAAACGTGCCCAAACGTTTCTGTCATACCCGAGGTTTAAACCCGGGTCCCTTCATTGTAAGCCGAGGGCGTAGACCACTGTGCTCCTCAAAGATCATCTGCAGTCATAAAATTAATATATTTAGAAAATTATCTTTTCATACAATTAGTAATGTTAGTCCTGGACAAAGTAGATATTTTGAGTAATATATTTTGTTGAGTACATTACTTGGAGTGTCTGTGGTTCAGTCAACATGAGGTAAAGATAAAGTTAAAGTTAGGTTACCAGCAAGAAGAGTAAGAGGCAGAGAGAAGGTAAGAGCCAGGCTCCCGCCCTCCTCTCCTCTCTCTTCTCTTCCTCCACGGACCAGTGAACCACCACACGTGCTCTCCACGCTCCTCACACCACGCACTGATTGTGCTGCCTCTGCCACCACACACCTGTTGTGTTCACGCTGCCTGTACCAACACACACTTGAGCTGGTCACAGCCCTCGAGCGGGTGTTCACCTCTCCACATCTGCTTCGGTACACACGTGTATCTCCCGTCTCCGTCCTGCACGTGGCTGCCTCTTGACTTACCCAGTACATGTGTGAGCACGTCTCATGGTGGGACGTGAGGCAGCTCACCTCTAAACACCTTGTATCACCTGTGCGCCGCGCCCTCGCCAAATAGTACAACTCCGCGCAGCTGGTGTTACGTATGGGTGTAGTGCTTGTATGAGAACGCGAAGGGTGCACACAGCACCGTTCCTGTGCCAGGTAAGTCCACGACGGGCTCACCATAGCCCGTGCTACTTGCCCCGCTCCTGTGCCAGGTAAGTTACGGGCTCACCATAGCCCGTGCTGCTTGGAACTTGTTCCGAGTAGCTGAATCTATAACAACAGCGAAGGGTGGCGGTGGGGTCCTACAATAGGACAAATATTTACGTAGGTGAAGGTTACTAAGGACTGCACAGATACGCCCGTCTCCGTCCGCTTCTAAACACTGTTGTCCCTCCCTCCCTATTTTTGTTTCCCATCCTGTCTTGCCGCTCTGTTGCTCTATCTCACTCTGTATCTCTCACGTCCTACCGCCCTACCTCCCTCCTGCCTTCTGTCGTCCTGCTAGCTTCCTGCCACCCTGCCTCCTTGCTAAGGTTCTGCCGCCATGCCTTCCTGCTAGCTTCGTACTGCCCTACTTTTCTGCTAGTTTCCTATCGTCCTGCCTTCCTGCTAGCTCCCCGTTGTCCTGCTCCCTGCTAGCTCCCCGTTGTCCTGCTCCCTGCTAGCTCCCCGTTGTCCTGCTCCCTGCTAGCTTCCTGTCGCTCTGCTTCCCTGCTTCCTGCGTTCCTTATTGCCCTGTTTCCCTTCTAACATCCTGACGCCCTGCGAGCTTCCTGCTGCCCTGATAACATCATGTCGCCCTGTTTTCCTGCTAATTCCCGCCTTTCCCTGCTAGCTTCCAGCCGTCCTACCTACCTAGAGTATTATAAGGATTGAAATACCTGACCAAGTCAATATTCTTCGTGGGTGCCAAAGTTATATTTGTTTTGCCTAATACTCTCTTTCCAAAACAATATTTGGATTTCTCGGTTGGATTAAAACAAAAATAACGTTGATTAAATAGCTGAACAAGCTTGTTATCTAGTTGCTTAAGTAATCCCTTCCAGTCTCCTCCTCTCATGCCTTTAAATTTCCGTTTTCTTTATAATCCGGAAATGACGCGTATGGTCTGATGTTTTTTAGGACAGGATGTTGCAAGTCTTGACATTGACAAGACACATCTCTCATAACTCAACCGTCATATTTCTCTCTCTGTCTCTGTCTCGTCCTCTTTCTTCCATCATCATTATAGATAAACGAAACGCTATGTGTGTTAGTGGCTTTGCAAGAATATAAGAACACCAATACTATGTACTCTCATAAACCCAATGTACCTCCTTGAATATATATATACATATATATATACATATATATATATATATATATATATATATATATATATATATATATATATATATATATATATATATATATATATATATATATATATATATATATATATATATATATATATATATATATATATATATATATATATATTTATCGTTGATAAATGCTTTTATCTACAGCAATGATTCAATTCAATTTCTTTCTTTATTATGCACCCCATACCCATCCCGTGGGCGGTGGTGTAAAGGATTACAGAGGCACATAATCGGTTCAGGAACTGAACCCTCTAGTTCGTTTAGCTAAGCAAATAGCAAATTTTGACACTAGTTACAAAATTATTAATGTTATATATACATGTACACATTCTCATACATACATGTACATATATATGTACGTATACATATATACATGCACATACATATTTAATCACCCACACAAATACACACATCAATAATCTTTTGTGCTACAGCAATGTCAAATCAATTATACCATCAGCAGTGAAAATGTTTCACGTGAAAGGCCACAGAGTTATGTAACTAATACGATTCCAGGAATCTTGGATGACAAGTCGAGATGCTTCACAACTAGGTCTTGTCTTAAGAAAAAAATAATAACCCTAGAGCTTTCAAAGAAGCGAGGAGCTATAAGGACCACTGTCCGGAGTTGGCAACATCGCTTCAAGGGAAGACTGAGATAAACTCAAATAGTTCGGCGAATTGTCGGATCCTAGCCGCGTGCTGGTGTAACACCGTACATAATGCACAACACTACACAGGAAATGACACTGTTCTAGGGGGACACTGTTTTCCTATGAATTTTGGGTGTTGAATCAGAGGGTATTACGTCACACGCTCTGGAATTTACATTGTGAAAGAATTAATGAAGAGCAATGTATGGCGACGATTAAAGACCCGCATATCGTCAATTAGGCAGCCATCTTCCTCAGTGAAGGTCACGAGACATGGCACAGCACTGGCTACCCGACTGCCCTCCACCAGCCCCAATAAACCTCAATGAGCACATTTCTATCTATTTTTTTTTTAGTGGAACTTGTAAGCAGGTCAAAGTAATCATTGGGGCACAA